GCTATAGTACACTAATCAGGCTTCCTAGGAGGTTTGGCAGATACCTTTGAGAAAGGGTAAGATTGAAGTTCAGCATTTTTAGTGTGCTATATATACCTCATTTTAATATTGCAAATGATTAGTAATGCTTTTTTGTTAGATGGAATGATTGGCATCTACTTAAGGATGTTTTTTGAAAGCTGTAGTTTATAAGATAAGCGTGTTAATTTACTGTCTCTGTTTTGATGTATGTGTTGTGGGGGATGCTGTTACTTAGAATTATTCTGCAGTTCATAGCTAATTAGTTGCTTCAGAACCATTTTGGTGTCATTCCAGTGTTTGAGCAAGCAGAAGTAAATTCATTTATTCATTTATACATTTATTCATGTAAAGTACTAATATCTAAAATAGTGTCATAATTTAGGAGTTATTTACAATTTATCATTTATCACATACTAGCAATGGAGATCTGAAGTAGATGAGAAAAGACAAGTGTTCCATGCCTTAGAGGATGAACTGCAGAAGGCAAAGATGATCAGTGATCAGATGTTTAAAATGCACAAGGAACGTGATCTTGACTTTGACTGGCATAAAGAAAAAGTTGATCAGTTAGCCGAGAGGTGGCAAAATATTCATTCTCAAATTGAAAATAGGTTTGTATAACTTTTTATTATAATCTGTTCATGTTTTATGCTGTTTTTGTTGTTTCTGAGGAAAAATAATCAGAAATGAATGTTAAAGTAGGTCAGAATAGTTTTCTATTTGTGAAAAGCACTAAGATCAAGGATTCACCTTTTCTGTGCTGTTGACATCGTTGTCTTACTTTTCCACAGGAAATGTCTGTGACTGTTGAGCACCAAAAGATTAACAAGATATAGAAACTTTATTTACTTATAACTTACTGCGACACAGTAGAGATAAATTGTCTTTCTTCTTTCAAAAAAAAGCCTGCAGAAATGGCTTGCTGTCCTATGGAAATACCATCTGTTTCTCCACATAATTAGTTCTGACAGGCTAAACTGATGATCTGATTCATCATTTATGACTGGATTCATGTTAACTTGCTTTTAATGACTCAAGTGCTAAGTCTGGAAGTCCTTAGCTTCCATTGACTTCTGTGATAATTTTGTCAGAATGACTTTTGGTGAAGTGCCAGTATTTTCTTTTGGTATGCAACTGTTTTCATGCAGCCTCAATATCCAATTGAGAAGTTGCTCTAAATTCAGCCCTTCAGTATTACCGTTATGATGATATGGGAGAATGTTACTCAAATGCACATGCCTACACAGATGTACAGATACAGCAGAACACACCTACCTGTAATTCTGAAGGAGATGTCTATGCATGACATTCCTGGAAATATTTTTTCCTTCAGTCTCTATAGTTGTGTTTCCTATATTGGAAGGAAACAGAACTATAGAGACTGAAGGAAAAAGTATGGGCAAGTTAAGGAAGTGTGTAATATACAGCCTGAATTTATTTCCTTTAAAATCTACTTTAGTTTGTCATTATAGATAACCTTACCAAGAGCATTAAGGATAGCGCTTTTCATGTAAAACTTCACACAACAACCTTTCACATTTTTGTCCCCCTTTTTTAAGGGGCAAATATCCGTACAGGTGTAATACTGAAGTTATTCACTTGTAATTAACTGATTTAGTTGTCTCTATTTAACATTGCTAGAAGTTAAAAGGGAGATGGGCAAAAGCTGACTCATTTAAAGCTGACTGCAGAACGGCTAGCTTTAAATCCACCTCAGATTTTTCATCATCTGGTAGCGTGACAGTATTTAGGTGAAAAAACAGTAGTTTTATGAGGTACTGAAGTGTCTTTATTTCTTCAGAGGGCAAACATGAACCACATGCTCTCCTCACAGGGCCATATCCTGGATAGAATATGCTGAAAAATGACTGTTAATACATAGTGACTTCTAGTGTAAATAGGACAGATTGTGGTTGTTGCAGCATGTAGCTGTAAACAAGCTGCTTTCTGCAAATATTTGCTCTGCTGCTTCCTAACAGCTTGACATTGATGATCATTATATGAAAAGTATGTACAAATATTGGCTGCAGTTACCATGATCCTTTCTCTTTTTCATGGTTATTAGCTTTAAAACATGCTTAAGTATGAAACCTGAGCAATACTGTTTCCTTTGCTTGCTCTTTTTCAGTCTCCTTTTGGCATCTTGAGAACACTAGTGCGATTCAAACTATTCATTCCAAATCACACTATAAAAAGTTGTTAAATAAGTATGTTTATCCATAATCATGCAGTGTTTTGGATTAGTTGTATTTATATGATCTTTGAAGTATAAGGACCATGAAAGAAAAATTGTCAGTATTCTCGTCAGTATGGAAACCACTTTCAAGAAATACACAGCACTCTTTTTTCAGGTCAAAACCGTGATTTGAAAATGGACTTACTCAACAGGATCAGTTGCTTTCGCACATTAGAATGTTTAATTTAGTGTAACTCCTGTTGTTCTGTGGGAGGCACAGAGTATGGTGAACCGATACTTATCCTCCAGTACAGCTTTTTTCCTTCTTGATTCAAATAGGCCACATTTGAAATATTCTCACTTCTTATAACAGAATTAATTGCTGTTGCAGAGCCCTCCCTCTTGCTTGGGGATTCCTGTGTTCATGGAGTTTCAAGCAGTTTAGCTCACTAATGAGGGATATACACAGAATTTCTTCTGTAGGAGGATCTTTCTTGGGTGTCGTTTATGACAAATGAAAAGATTTCTTCAAGCTGGGAATCTTGATGTTTGGGAAGTTAAATTACTGTTTAGTTAGTGTTATTTTAGTATGTTTATAGTGTAAGCTATAGCAGAGCTAAGGCATCCGAAGCCTTTAAAGCTGTATTTGGCTTAGTGTTGTATTTTTTATATTTTATATTCCTCTTCTCTCCTTTGGCTTATCTTCTAAAATAAAATCAGGTTGCGTGACTTAGAAGGTATTAATAAATCTCTGAAGTATTACAAAGATACTTACAATTCTTTGGATACGTGGATTCAACAAGTGGAAGATACTCAGCGAAAGATTCAAGAAATCCATCCTGAAAATAGCAAAGCATTGGCTAAACAGCTGAACCAACATAAGGTATGAAAGAGATCTCATTGTAGGAAAGCACTGCTTTAATGACTGAAATAAAATTAAAATATCTTTTGAACCCAGTCATGTCAGTCTTACTTCTTGATGGGAAGTGCTTATGTCCTTCAGCCCTTATTCTAAAATTGCAAATAATCACCAGCTTTTATGGTTTTATGTTTACAATGCAGCTAACATCATTAATGTATCACTCGCTGATTATAGCCATTTTATAGACCAGGTTGTTTTGGTCTTCAAATCTGCAAGAAGAGCAAAACCTTAGAGAGTGCCTACAATTCTGGACTCTCCTTATCACATAATTTTTTATTCAGTACTGCTCTTGGTAGTTATGGATGTAAAAATATTTTCATGGAGGCAGAGCTAAACTCAACAACTCTCCTGCAAGAAGGAAATGCAGCTTAAATAAGAGACACAATAACAAATTATATGCATGAAGTGTTATAGTCCTGATTTCTTTTTAAGTTCACTCACCAGCTGTTAAACCTGGCAGGGTTTTTTCACTACTTCTGTAAGCCTGACAAAGCCAGGACATGGCCTTAAGCATGTAATTACTTGTACACACAAGTAAATGAGCGTATTATGTAAATTTTGTGATGTTAGATAAAGTAGAAAGGCTAATAATAATAGTAATAAAAATCACTTTTTAAGATGAAGATGTAGATTCATCTTTTACAGATGCTGGTTTCTGAGATTGAAATGAAACAAAGCAAAATAGATGAATGCCAGAAATATTCAGAACAATATTCAGCTGCTGTGAAGGTAATAAATAACATGATACTTGGAATCCTTTTTTTTAGTGTCGGTATCACGCGGAATGCTGATCATTTTGTGTATTTTCTCTTTTTACAGGATTATGAGTTGCAGACTATGACCTACAGAGCTATGGTTGACTCCCAACAAAAATCTCCAGTGAAACGCCGAAGAATGCAAAGCTCATCAGACTTCATTATTCAAGAGGTAAATGGATTTCTTACGACAGGAGAACGTGATTTTCTGAGTCCTTGCTTAAAACAGAGTAAAAACAAGAACGGGTTTTAGGATTTATTAATGATGAAATAGGGTAGCCCAAGCAAGATTTTTTTTTTTTCCTCTATAGATTTATGATGTGACAAATGTCCTATCGGTCATTATGCAGTATTTAGATAACGAGATGGTATATTGCTGTTAATGAACAAAAGTCCCCCAAATTACAAAAAACAGTATGAGAAATGTACCTTAGTAGAACTGTTTAGAACTACCTCTGGGCTGGATCTTGATCACAGTAAACAGGGGGAGCTTTCATCTTTGCTATGGTAAAACTTACCAGATCTGGACACTTTGACGGGTTCCAAGGCAAATCAGCCTCATTTGGGTGGGAAAGAGAAATCTGTCTCCCTGCTAACTGTTAGAGAGAGGAATAGCGGCCAGCACTGCTTGTCCCTCTTATAACCTGTTCTTACAGGGGGGAAGAATCAAGTGACTGTGAAGTCAAAACATTGTCTTCTGTTTCTTCTTATGGATCTGCTCATAGATCCTTAGGATTTATTCATGCAAGTACACCCTGCTGATGGCATTCAACTTTGGAATCAAAATTAGGACTTTGGATTCCACAATCAGGATTTTGGAATCAAAATCGGGATAGGTTCTAGAGTAATGTTTATCACTTCTTTGAAGGTTAATGGGAGTGTTTCCCTCTCTCTCCCCATCCCCCTTTGTTTCTCTGCAGTTCATGGATTTACGGACTCGTTATACTGCCTTAGTGACCTTGATGACCCAATACATTAAGTTTGCAGGTGACTCTCTGAAAAGACTGGAAGAGGAAGAGGTAAGTCTTCACTTGGCAGCCAACCAAGCAAAAAGAACAGCTAGGCAAACAAAGAGCAATATAGCTGTTGGAATTATTCACAAAGTTAGCAGCAGATATGAAAGACTAAAATTCCTTATATGCTGCACTTTATACAGGAATGTAGGAGTGTTAAATTACACCATTATCATTCAGATAAGCAAAATCCTATGCCATCCATACATTTTACCAGTTCTTCCAGCTAGAAGGATCACATAATTCATTAAATTCTGATGGAGATGTAGTTACATACAGTACATTTTAATACTTTAATATTTTAGGGCTTGATCTTTTGGATAAATGCAGACATTAAGATGAGGGCAAACTTAGTGTGCATGCAGCATTGATATCTTATGTAGGCCTTAATATTCCATAGTATGCATTCTGGTCCACTTAACAACATCTAAGAGAGTTCTTTAAACAGGGAGATGCGATGCCCTCTTAAGTAATTTCTTAAGTTTCTTTGACATGTTTAGATTTTTTTTTTTTCCTTCTACCTTTCTACTGTATTGATTCCTTGGGGTCAAACAGCATTTTACTTATGCTTAGCGTTGAATCTTATTAACAAGAGTAGGTTACTGAAATTGAGCAGACAAATTACTCAAAATACATGCTTACTGCAGAATCAACCTTCCACATAATTACAAAAAAAAAAAAAAATTAAATTCTTCACTTTTTTTGGAAATGTTTTGCTCTGAAAGAGATTTGTCATTCCTTAAGGACTACAGTGTTTTAGTATAATCTATACAGTGCATATCTGTAAAATAATGCCCATATTAAATATAGTCCTGTAATTAATTGTGCTCATATTAAATGTAGTCTTATATAAATTACATAAAATTGGAGATCACTCCCATAAGGATATAAATTTTAATGTTGTTATTGCAGAAAAAAAATCAGAGTTCTTAAATGAATGTTTTGTAATTCTGTTGCTGGCTTTGTCTTTATTGGCTTTTCTTGCTATTGAATACCTCTGGACAAACTGTAGCAGTAACAGCATGTATCTTTGTGCATCATGAGGTGGTGGAGCATATGAATGGAAATAGGTAATGTTTGTTAATAAGTAGCCATTATAACTGAGGATTTGGTATGGCTAATAATGCTAAGTGGTATCAAGGGTAAAAAGTGAAACAAAGAACAAAAATTGAAACAAGGATCAAGAAACCTGTGAATGCCAATAGGCTTCACGTTCTTCAAGAGCAAATGGAATCTTTTAAACTCTTTTGAGTTTCAGTCTGGTCTGAATCTCCAGGACTGCTTTTTTGGAAATCAGACACTCCCCATCTTCCATCCTCCTCCACCTTCCGGCAGCCTTCTAAATCTTTGATAGCTTCTTTGAAGATAACCTAAGTAGGTTTCCAGTCTCAAAGTGATTTGATGGATTTTTTCTTTGTGATCAGGGTAGCAAATCAGAAAGTGAATAAACCTTTTCAAAGAAAGAATGATAATTTTTTGCTTCTGGGATCAGACCTCTGAAGTCTGTGATTGTTCCAAGATTTTCTTCCATGCCAATCTTTCTTCCTAACTCTCAGTAATGGCATTAAAAATGCACAGAATAAGGAAAAAAATAAGATCCTTTCCATGATATCTCAGTTTAATCCATGTGCTGTCATGCTCAGAGCTTACCAGAGGAGAGTGAACTCCAGCAACCTGTGAAGTCAGCGGAAGTCTTTCAACGTTTGGGATGTAATGAAGCTGTTGAATTCAGAGAGGAAAACACACCTAATGAAAGCATGATGGATGTGGAATATTTGCAAAAAGATAACTCTTCCAGTAAACCTAAACACACAGAAAATAAATTGGAAATTGACAGAAGAAAATTAGATGTAGACAGATATGATAAAATCAAAACTGATAGAACATTAAAGCGATTTTTAAATTTCAGTGGTCAAGAAAGTAGCATTAGTGGCAACAGAGAAAATAAGCTACATAAAGAGCAAGAGAATTTAGTGGGTTTTGGTAATCAAAGTAAAGAGGAAGAAAATAGTACAAAAGTTTGTTTTGTTTCAGCTGAGATCTGTGTGAGTATGAGTAACGATCCTGGTGAAATGTTAAATGAGCAAATCGTTAATGGAGAGAGACAGAAAACAGAGGGAGTATCAAAGAAGTTGCCTGAAGTGGAAATGATACACAAAACTACGGGAAAAAATTGTTCAAGGAAGGCAGGGAGTGATGTTTCAACAAAGGAAGGATGTGAAATGCAGTCAGAAACTAATTTTGAGCTAACAGCGAAGAAAGATGAAGTTACTCCAAAAACTGGAAAGCATGCCCTGGATATCAGCCCTTACAAGCAGCAACATTTTTCACCAAGAACTCATTTTGAATGTCAGCGTAAAGAACATTGCTTTACAGAAGGTAATAGCCATAATACTTTAAACTCTGAAGACAGAGAATTTAAAGTGTGTGGTGAAAAAGGTAACTCTTTCTCAGGTGTAAGGGATGCAACACCTTTAGAGAAAGTTGCATCCTCTTTCAGAGAGCTGGCAGCACACAATGGAGGTGAAAAAACAAAGTTAAATTTGCAATCTGTGAGCAATCCTGGCATTTCTGGTAGTGTCGAAAGCGATACAAACAAACTGCACAGAGCATCTCTGGATAAAAATTACTTCATAGCAGAAAATGAAATCCCAGAAAAAACAAATTTAAATCCAAATGAAGCCAAGAGTACAATGCAAGAAATTTTGACTGTTTCTTCAGGAAATATTTCAGAGACTCAGTATGCAGCAAAAGTCTCTGAATCTTATCCATTAGATTTTGAAGTGTCACCAGTGCAGAGTGATCCAAGTTTAGGTATGGAATTGTTAGGAAATACTGGTGATTTAAATGCAAATATAGCCCCCTCAGAAATTATTTCTGGAGGAGAGGATTATTTTCCATTATCAGAACATGGATTAGCAAAAAAGCTTTTGAGTCATGATGAGGAAGTAAGTGGGAAGAAAATATCACAGGGTAAAATTCGTGGTTTGGACAACATAAATGTAAGTGGGGAGAAGCAGAGTGGAGAAGACAAGTTAGAACAGGGTCAGAAATTTAAAGGTTTATTGCTAGTTGCAGAAATGGACAGTGGAGATAAGGGTCATAGCACAAAGGTACCTGGAAAAAACGCTGAGCTCCAGAAACCATTCTGTGAAAAAACAGGGAAAAAAGCCTCACTTGAAAAAAAAGAAAAGCAAAAAAAAAGAAACTATGATAATGCAGAGAAAAAGAGCACAACTATTATTAAGGTACCAGAGTTTTTATGCAATGCAAATGAAACAGTTAATTTAAGAATGATTCTAAACCAATCTAAATCAACATTTGAATCTCAAAATATGTCAAGGTCAAGTGATTTAAAGTTGATTGAACATAATTTAAACAATGAATATGCTAATGATATTCATTACTTTGCATTTTGAGATGCTTACATTTTTTTAAGTTCTTATAAATTTATTTTTGTTTATTTTGTATTACTATCTAATTACCATCCTTTTCTATACCCAGCTGATGCTCAGCCATGTCGATTAGAAATAATGAAAACTAACAAGATATAGTTTGTGACTGTATCTGTTTTTAGTTCTTCTTTTTCAAGCATAATACATTAGATTTTGTGTCTATGGGAGCATAAAAGGAGATCTGATAAGAAACCAATTTAAATGTTTTTTATCCATTGGGGTCTGTTCAAAATTGTGACATGGGAAATATGGAGAGAAACTGAAGAAGCTGCCTTTGCATTAGCCTTTTAGGAAATAAGTTTCATATATCATATGCAAAATCAAGTAAATCTGGTAAATTTGAACTAAACCAACTTTTTGTTTATTTGAAAATGTTGCTCTAATTACCCTTCATGCCATGTTTGTATGATCATAGGAATATAGGTGTGTTCTTACCTCATGTTAGGTCATATTTGGTAACTAACACCATGATAGTGCTAATGAAAACAAGGTATGTATGGTTTCAACCATATTATTGATGGTGAATACACATCTTACATGAGTTTCCCTTGATCTGCCAACATACGGAGACTATTAGCTGACTGGTTTTCACTATGATTTTCCTAATTACCATGTTTATATTTCTAACTGTGTCTACACTGCAGAGCAGCTGTGCTCTTACCAGTGCCCCAGCTGAGCCAGCTGGAGGCATTGGGACTGTGGAGCACACTATGGAGCGTAAAAGTACTGGGTTTAGATACTTCTCTTCCTGCAGCTGATGTGTCTTGGCTCTACCTCTAGACACCATTTCTTTTCTTGGAGGGGATTTCCAAACTTCTCTTGTGTTATTTGTGCTTGCAAACATAAAATCCTTCTTCCAATTTCTACTGAACTGATCCAGAAATGGTAGGCCACTTCCTCCTTGGGAATTCTTACACATAGTGTTTGGCTCACTGTTTGCTGTACCTATTTGTTTGGAGAAAAAGCATATGCAAGCTGTTGTTTGACGCTGCTTACTACTAAGAGGCATCTGACTGAAGTGAGAGGCTTCAGGACTTCTTCGCTTTGTGGATGTCTTTATGAAGGGTTTCATATTTGGGTAATGGTAACTTCCTGAAGCTTACTGTATCAAGAGAAGGTGATGGTGGTGGGAACTGCTTGTCCTACTTTCTGGACATATCTTATATATCTGAGTAAGTATTTTCCACGCTGCTTTTCAAAGAGCCTAACATGTTTCATTTGCTGTGTTACAAAAGGTACGTTCCAACTTATCCTGTTCTTTTACAGATTTTAAAGAATAAGGAAGAATCAGTGCGTGAGGCATATTCAGATCTAATGGCACAGCAAAATAGCACAATTGATGAGAACAGAAAACTCATGGGAAAGGTAAAAACACTTGAGGAGATGTTGGAGGATATGAAGAAACAAAAATTCCAAGTGGAACAGGAGCTCCCTAGAGTGAGGGAAGCTGCAGAAAAAGAGCGGAAGAAGCAGCAGAAGGATATGGAAGAGATCTGTCTTCAGAAGACCAAGGCGGAGCAGGAGGCAAAACAGTGTCGTATAGATCTAGAA